GATGAGGCTAAAGATGTAAGAACCAGTCCTGTCCCCATTTTGCCGATGAGAAGGCCAAAATCAGAAGAAATGCCATTGGTTTCTTGTATGTGAAGACGAGTCCAGAGAAGGGGCCTCCTAATATGAGGGCAGTCCTGGCCCTTAACACACATCAGACCTGCCTCCCACCTCTGGCCGGAACTGACTCCACTCCTGGGGCTTCAGCCTCAACCGTAACATATTAGCTGTGCATTGTATTATTTCTAGATCCTTCTAAATAAAAGATGTTAAGACTAAAACAGAGAGGGCGAAATATATCCACTAGACGATGATGACAATAACAATAAAACTATAACTGCTGAAAAATATCTCGGGGCCACATCGTAAGACACTCAGAGAAACACAGTCCGATGACCAAACGTCTTTTCAAAATGATTCTAGTCTTTCTTATTTGCTCACTGAACAATGAAATCAGGCAGATAACAACTCACAATGGGCCTCCCATCTTTCCTCTCTGGTTGGCACCGCTCAGGTTTCTGTAGCTTCTCCCTTCTCCTAGTCCCCTGGGCTGACCCTCCCCAGCCTGGACCCCTCAGTTTTTCCTCCCTCTCCCACCGTCTCCCCACCTTTCCCACTGCTCCATTCCCCAAACACCTGCTGCGCCCCTGCACTGACTCTGCTCTGTGAGCTGGGCACTAGCTACACTAGCTTGACCTGCGTCACCTCGCCCTCAGCATATCAGCAGGGAGGTCAGTTGTCTGAGTGTGGGAAGCTCATGGTGATGGCGGCTCAGGTCCGAGGTCACAGGCCTGGGGAGGGCAGCCTGGGCAGCCTGGAGTCAGACATGTCTGGCTTGTGCTCTTCTCTCTTGCTTTGCATCTATGGTCTTGACCCACTTGAGTCCTTTAAACCTCCAGATACTGTTCTTTCTTTCATTCTTTTTTTTTTTTTTTTAGAGAGAGAGAGAGAGGTATTTGCCATAGGGCGCCTGTGCTCTTGGAGAGAAAGAGAGAGGCAGAGAGACAGAGAGTGAGAAATCATCCCCAGGGGGATGACGATGCTGCAATCCCTTCTCCTTCATTCTCCTCTTGGGATTTTAGGCATGCACACATACACACCCAGAGTGAGTTTTAAGCCTCTGGGGCCAGGACTCAAACCACGGCTGACTCCATGGCAATCCAGCAATGTACCCATTATGCCATCTCCTGGTCCCCAGAAGTGCATTTTTTAAAATTGTGATTTCCAGTCTGCCTAAATCTGAGCTACGTCTTTGTAGGGTGCCGTGTGGTTTCCCAAAGCATGCCTATGTTGGGTCATAATCAAATCAAGGCTGCATGCATGCTGATCTTCAACACGGAGCACTGCTTCATGTAGCTCACAGTCAGCACGGTCCTGCCAGTGTGTTTTAGAAGTGTGTGTTGAACTGCCCATATATTTTATGCTGCGGTGGTTCACTGCCCCATAGCCTCTTCTACGTATTTGCAAACATACTTGTTTCTGTTGAAAATGTTCTAGATGTGCATTTAAAATTTTTACTAATTAATATGAAGTTACCAGGATCCAAACCTGCTTGATTATTGCTTAGAAGTTCATCTGATGTGGAATAACTCTAAATAAAAGATGGCCCCCTTGACTAGGGCGCATGCTTCCATCCACACCTGGCATAAATACGCCCTCTCCCACCTAACAAGGCTCTCCTGGCTGGGCTGAGAGCAATGCAAAGTTCCTTCCCATCTGGTCCAGTCAGATCATCGTTCACACCCATGCCTCTGAGCGGGGGGTTCAATTCTGCCCCTTGTCAGCTTGCTTGGTTCTGGGCACATAACTTAGACCTTGCCTCAGTTCCTTCGTCTGTAAAATGGATGATAATAGGACCTATGACCCAGGGTCATGGCGAGAATTAAAGAGTCAATTCTCATGAAACATTTACAAAAATGCTCAGAATGCCACCCGCTCTCCGTGAGTAACAGCGATGCCCACACTGCCCGCCCAGGCCGTGTGCACGCCTCCATTTTATCCACACGCACTCTCCATGTTGTCCACATACACCATGGTTTCCCCCACAATTTTCTCATTTTCGATTTAGCTTTTAGTATACACCACATGTGCTTCCTTTTTCTAACTGATTTACTCAACTTCTTTATGTTTGCGAATTATTGCATTAGTATTGTACTCTGCTTTATTGAGTAAAACAATTAGTTGTAAAATGTGGGGAGTCAGGCATTCAAATGTACCGACTGAGTACCAAAATCCAGGCTTCTCTGGGAAGCAGGGTGCAAGAGGTACTTAAAGGACTGGGAACTATGATCCAAGATAAAAATGAAGACTTCTCATTTTTAAATGGGGTCCTGCTTCTTTCTGCTTTCCTCAAATGGGAAGCAGGAGTGCTCTGGACCTGCAATCTGAAAATCCATTTCACACCTTATATATATATTAGCATCTTTAATAGCTCTGTTCCCTTCAGCTGAAAAAAAGAATACAGCCTCTCAGCAGCAATCTAAGTGTCCCCCAGAGGACATTCTCTTCTTGATATCAGGTCAGTGTGTCACACGGAAGAGGCAAAATCGCCCTTCTGATTCCCTGCATGCAAGGGTGAAGTGGAGCAGATTTAGAAGCTGCATGGGCGAGGACTTTCATTTTCAAATATTTAGCAGTTTATTATGCAACTGAATTTATTCTCAGGGCTGAGCAGCAAATCAGCCTCAGATTTCACAGCGTGTTCTTATTAATGATGTCACATAAAATGGTGGCATATCATATCATGCAACATATGATCCTGCTTAGCAGCAATGACCTGCATGCCACCGAGGCACGCACTGTTTCACATCAAGCCATCCAAGCGGCTGGCAAAACGCCATGTGCGTCTTTCTGACTCCGAACTGCTCTGATGGACAGCTCTGACTTCAGAGGCATCTTAAGTCTGCAGGTGTGGAAAAGGCAGTGGAAAAAAACTCTCATGCATTTGAAGGGGATTTCCTCTGCAGCATGCATGGCGGCTTTGATGACGCTTGGGGGAGAGACACACACATGAATACTTTTGCTTCATTACCTTCCTAATTTACAGCTAGAATTCTTCAAGGAAACTCCAAGAAATCCTGAAGGACGCAGCCTTAAATTTGGCAGCTTTGATTCACACATCCAGGTCCCTCCGGCAAACCTGACAATGCCAACTCTAAAACAGACTCCGTATTTGCACTGGACAAACTTGGCACTTGCCACCTCTGAGGCCCCTATTTTGTAACTGTTTTATGTCTTTGAAGCTTGTAGTTCAACTCAACTTAGTTGAGTGTTTATTAAGTGCTAGGAATTTGCTGCATGCTCTCACACTAATTTAATGACCTTAATCCCCAGAGTGCTCCTAAGATGCTAGCACTGCTGTGTATTTACTTCGCCTGACGGAGCAGAGGCCCAGAGAGCCCTGGCTGCAGTACACTGTCACAGTTAGGGTGCAGAGGTGAACTTGGAACTGAAGACTGCCCCTCCATGCGGTGGGCTTCCCCCACTCTTCAGCTGTCTTATTTTACTAGCCCCACAAAGTCTTTTAGTTTCTATGGTTTATTCTAGTGCTGCCTCTGCTGCAATTTACCTTCACTTTGTTACTGACAGGGCATCCCCAGTTTTACTGCCAGCAAGCCAATCAGCCCTCACTGATGGACTCACTGAATTAAAACCTGCAGGAGAGTGATGGGATTGATTAATCCAGTTCCTTTCCTGATACATAATATTGTCCCTAGCATTTTGATATTAACCCACAAAGGACATCAAGAAATGGCAATATGAATTGCTACTGGTTTTTCCACTTGTCTCTTACCCAAGTTCTTCAGGTTGGTTTCATCACCCACTGAGGCAACAAAGCTCCAAGAGTTCACGTCCCAAGTCCAGATTCCAGAACTGATGAGGAGAGTCCTGGGGTTGGAATCTTCGGACTAACCCTTGAGCCCAAACTCATTTCACTAACTTTTCTCCTCTGTCTGCCTTGTCAACTACCTCTCTAGGGAGCAACCTCCTTTAAGGTCCACATTGCAAAAATGTGTCCTGAGATAAATGGTTCCTGAGAGGCATTCTTTGTCACTGAATGTGTGGAAAGGCTGTCACTATAACCGAGATCTCACAGAGGAGTGGGTCCTCCACCTTTGACAGAGGAGTGGTTGTGGCGGCCGTGCAGTATTTCATCTGCATCAATTTTGAGAAGGGAACCATACCACAGGGATGGCCCAATCTCAAAGGCAGGCCCCAGGAATGGAAAGTGCTAACCACTGAGCAGAGCAGAAGCTGAAAACTCACATCTGGCCCTTTCCTCTTGGGGCCCCACACGATGGTGGCATTTCTGACTCACTCTCTGGAGCCAGCACAGCAAGATGAGCTGTAGCACAGATATGATTCCTTACGGATGGCGTGGCATTTGACGGAGCCTCGTGATCTGAGAGGGTGTGTTCTTGCTCCTTGAAATACGACCAAGTCTTCTGTTCCATGGCTCCTTGCAGTTGAGGCACTGTGTCCTCCTCAGCACAGAGGACTGAGCTTCACACGGGGCCTGAGCCTGTAACTCTACTTACCCACTTCCTAGGGATCATCTGTGCAGAGCCTGCCGTATGCTCCAATGGCAAAGTATTAGTTATTCTTCACATGCCTCCAAACTGCCTATTTAAATCTTCTGGGGCCAGCAGGTGGCGTGATGGTTAAGGTACTGGATCCCACCTAGCTGACTTCACGGTTCAAGTCCTGAACCTGGTTGCTTGAAAAACACACCAGGTCCAAATGCATGCTTGTATAAAATTCTGAAAAAATGAAGGAGTTGCAGCATGACCATCCCCCTCTGGGAGTGATTTCTCATTTTCCCTCTCTCTCTGGTGAACTCACACTCCTTATGGCAAAATATCCACCATAAAAAAAAAAAAATCTTTCTTTTGAATGCTTGTTTGCCTTCTCTAGTATTTTTGTATTTGGGTGCTAGTTCCCTTGGTTCGCAATTTTTTTTTTTTAATTTCCTCTCTTCTGCCTCCTTTCACTCCTCACTTTAGTGCTGCCAATATTCCAGGATACACGGGCAAGGTTCATTTCACAGCCACGCACCCGGCCAACTCCAGGGTCCCATCCACAAGCCCGTCACCAGATTCAGAGCTGTACAGGTAAGTATGAATCCTGCTACTCAGTTTACTACTTTAGGGCAGATGTCCAAATCATGGTTATTCTCTTAAAGAAAAATTAAATACTAAGAGAACATTTCCATTGTTAAAAAAAAATGAGGTGTCAAATACCCAAAAGAGAGAAGAGGTGATTTTCCTGAGGAGGACTTTATTAGACTTTGCACATATTTTCTTTTTGACTCTTAACCAGATGTAGATTCATGTAAATATTGGGCCAGCCCAATTGCCTAGCGGTTAAGGGAACCAGATCCCACATGGCCAACTGCGCAGTTCAAATCCTGGCCATGTAAGCTTGAAAAGCACACTAGGCACATGTGTATGCATGCCTAAAATCTTGAAAGGATGGAGAAAGAGAGGAGAAGATGTTGTGAAGTGATCATGCCCCATTTGGATGGTGATTTCTCCCTCTTCCTCTCTGTCTGTCTCCAGTGAATGCACATATCCTTGGGGAGAAGAGGGAGAAAGTTAACATTGGTATTGCTAAAGGAGCCCACTGAGCTATTTAAGGCCTATTGGTGGGGGAGGGAGGCGTGCTACCAGGATTCATAACATACTTGTGACACACGTTTACTTCTTGAGAATAAGTACATTTTTTCATAAAAAACAAAATGATGTTGAAAGCCACATATATATATTTTAAATACCATTTTGCAAATTAAAAATGAGTGATGTTGTGGGCCAGCAGGTGGGGTGGTGGTTAAGACGCTGGACTCCCAAATACCCAATCATGGTGCAAGTCCCAGATCAAGAAGTTTAAAAATCATGCTGGGGGCATGTACCTGCATGCCCAAAATCCTGAGAGGAGAATGGAGGAGAAGGGATTGCAAGGTAGCCCTCCTCCCAGGGGGGTGATTTATCACTCTCTCTCTCTGTCCGTCTGTCTCTGACAAGCACATATGCCCTAGGGCAAAAACCTTAATTAAATAAAAAATTAAAAGTAGGTGATGTTGGAAAGTTGTCGAGGATTTCTTTATTTGAAGCCGTTAGTGATAAGCAGCACATTATTGCTCATTGTAACTCAAATCTGAAAGCACTAGATGGAAGTTCCGGTCTTTCCAAAAAGATGTCACAGTTTAAAAATGTAAATAAAGTCTGAACCTGGCCTGGAGGCAGGCCCAGTGCAAATGAATAAGCTGTTTCGGCAGGACTATTCTCCTAGACCACATTCTCTAGATAGATAACCACTGACTTATCAGTTATGGAGCATCCACTCCTGTCCAGGCACCATTCGAGGTACTGACATTCAGGGTGGAACAGAAATGATCCCGCTCTCTGGACTTTTGCTAGTACAGTAGAGAAACGACTTGGGAAGAAGCCCGGCCAAGCACGTAGGGAGTGCCTGGGGACAGGCTTGCTGCGCTCGGTGGTCAAGGAGGCCTCTGCAGGAGTGAGTCTCAGGTGGAGGACACTGAAGAACCTAACTTTCCGAAAGGCAGCAGCTGCATATGGATGTTGCTGCAGTGAACAGCCCCAGGCATGTTGGTCTCATTCACGTGCCCATTTGTTGGCTGCTTCTGTGTCTCTTCACCTGGACAAATGCTCACTGCGCTCGGTAATTCACAGCCAGTGACCTGGTGTGCGAGGAGCTCATGTGCTCAGGGAGCGAGGGGCCAACAAGAGAGCCGATTGACGACACGCTCACAACACTCAGGCACTCCACTGACTGGGTGATCCCTCGCCACCAGGTATAGATGGCCCTGGAGGTCCACAGGCCTGTGTGTGTGGCCTTGCTGGGCCAGGATGGCAGCACCGGTGCCTGTGGATGGAGGGCTTCATCACCGCATCTACATTTCTGCTTTAATGATTGTCTAGAATCGCTAGGCCATCTGAGCAGAAAGACTGTTTTACTTACCAGCGGGCTTGTGCTCTCACCAGTGAGAGATGGAGAGAGAGTGAGAGAGAAAGAGACAGGGAGAAAGAGGGAGAAAGCACCCCTTAGCAGGACATTCTCTCTGGCTCTGACTAGCACATATGCCCTAGGGCAAAAACCTTAGTTAAATAAAAATTTTAAAACAGGTGATGTTGGAAAGTTGTTGAGGATTCCTTTATTTGAAGCTGCTAATGACAAGCAGCACATTATTGCTCATTGTAACTCAAATCTGAAAGCATCTTAGTTATAATAACTCAAATGCTTATATATATATATACACAAATGCTGTATATACACACATACGCATATACATATATATACACACATATCCAGTCACAAATATATATACACACACACACACACACGTACATATTTTTCCCCCTGAAAATTTCCAGTGACAGTGTAAGCCTAGGTCTCTGTCAGGTGAGTATGAGAGTGTAGTGAGATAACTTCCTCCTGACTGGGTCTACCTGATGTACTGTATTTTTTCCCATTGTTTCTAAGAAGCTGTCCACCCATGGCATGCCCTGGAACCCTGAGCATGAGGAGCATGAGCTCCACTGCACTCTTGTGCCCCTCGGCACCCACCCCTCCTTAGAAAGAGCCTCTACACCATTGCCATGGCCACCCTTGTCCTTCCCTGTCCTGTGTCAGTGTCCACAGATGGCTTCCTCCACTGCTTCTAGGCCACCACAGTGACCTCTCCATTTTCCCTGTTTCAGGGTCCTCTTCCTCTCTCCTCTAAATCTCCATTGTCATCATGGCTCTTCTCCTTCCTCCCAGGAAGATCTTAATATGAGGCCCATCCCTCACTCTGAGCCCTGGACGTACCAGGAGAGTCTTCCCCGGTTCCCTTCAGAGGTCACTCTGCTCCTCTCCTCCCCTTCCTTTCCCTCTAAACCTCTTTAGAAAGCAGCGAGCAGCCTCTCCCCTCACTCCCTGCCTGCACTCCCTCCAGCCTGCTCTCTCCTTAGCCTCTACCCTCTGGAGTCTGACACCACCAGCCAAATAAAATCCACGAGCCTGCCCCTCACAGGCTAAAGAGGGGACAAAAAGAGAGGTCCACTGGAACTTCTTGCAAGGCCGGCAGTGTATATGCCTGAGTCTGTGGATGATTAGCTGCAGTGTGATTGGGCTTTTAAAATTGTTGAGGTCTCGAATGCTGATGCAAAGGGTCAATGGCCATGTGGTCCCCACACCACATTTTGAGCAAGGTGGACAGCCCCCGACAGTCCCTGAGTGTTAATATTAGGATGGGAGGCAGAATAGAGAGGGAAGACTCAAAGTAAGGAGATGGGGGGTGGTATTGGAGGTGAATAAGCAGGATGTTGTGAATCGCCAAGTTCGTGAGTCAGTCGGGAAATGGGCTCAAAGGCTTTCCAATGCCTAGTTCCTTTGCAGTTCATTGTCGCTCCAGCCTCTCACACCGGAATGATGTCACTGCCACAGAAACTGGAGTTCACCCGCAATAGCAGTTCCCACTATATATATACACGCACACACACATACACACAATTCAAAGAGTTCATGGAAAAATAAAATTAAAGTAGAAGTTTATCTAGGGGAAAAATGGAAATTCATGTGTGATTTTTTTTTCATTCTGTTTTTTGTTCTAGGGAGTATGCACTCACTGGAGAGACAGAGAGAAAGTGAGAAATCACTCCCCAGGGGGAAGGCCATGCCACTATCCCTCCTCCTTCATTCTCCTCTTGAGATTTTGGGCATGCACTCACATACTCCTGATGTGAGTTTCAAGCCACCAGGTCCAGGTCTTAAACTATGGTCAGCCATGTGGGAGTCCAGAGCCTTAACCACCATGCTATCTACTGGTCATCATGCATAGTTTTCTCATATACATTTTCTATGAACACTTCAAATTCCCTTATATACATACATATACATATACATGAAAGCAAGGACATTTTAGAGTTAGTGGCTCTGTGAGGTAATTTTCCACACTATCTGTGTAACTTGCTGCTACAGAACAGCCTCACATGTGTGTACAGGAATCAAATAGCAGCAAACACAACCTCATTCCTATAGGCCATGGGCTCTTGGGGTTGCTCCTAAGAGTTGGCATGGGGCCCACTGACTGAGGACCCCACCTGTGGGTAAATAAGACATTTGGAAATTGGAAATTCCAGTACCCAAGGGGATTAAACAGCCTTTGCCTCATACTCTACATTTTCACTGTTAATTTCTTTCTTTCTTTCTTTCTTTTTTTTTTTTTGATAAGTTTTTGCTATAGGGCACGTGCGCTTGCCAGACAGACAGAGACAGAGAGATAGAAAGCGAGAAATCACGCCCCCAGGGGGGATGGCCATGCCACAATCCTTTCTCCTCCATTCTCCTCTCAGGATCTTGGGCACGCACGCACATGCACCCGGCGTGAGTTTAAGCCACCGGGTCCAGGACGTGAACCGCAGTCAACTATGTGGGAGTCCAGTGACATAGCCATTACGCTAACTGCTGGTCTCTCACTGTTAATTTCTTTATCTTAATCCTCTCAATGAATGTGGCAGGGTGAACTTATTCCCACTGGATAGAGCAGCAAACTAAGTTCTGTGGGGTGAGAGTAGAGGGGGCTGTGTCCCACCACAGGCCTCTCCCCAGGCCCTGCCTCCCACCTTTCCCCTGGATGTCCTTCCCAACCAGTGCCCTGCTATCCTTGCAGGTTCAGGCAGTAGCTGTGCCCTCTCTGTACTCTCGCCCCCTTCCCGTGCCTGTAACTCTAGGCACAGTCGAGTCTCCTGAGTTGCAGGGGACGTGATGGTGTAAGGCAGCAAAGGAGGCTGCACACGGTGCCCACCCCAGGCTGCTGTGTGCACTCTCCTCCCTTTCTCCTTTCCTCCTCTCTGTGCTATTTCCCCTCTCCTTTTTCTCTCACCTCTCCATCTCTCCTCTCCCTGCTATTTCTCTTCTCTCCTCTCTCCCCTCTCTCCTCCTTCCTCTCTCCTCTTTCTCTTCTCTCTCCCTCCTCTCTCCTCTGTCCTCCCTCCTATCTCTCCTCTCTTTCTCTACTCCCTCCTTTTCTCCTACCTCTCACTCTCCTCTCTCTCCCATACATGTAGTCATTCAGTGGACAATAGTTGAAATTGTGTGTTTTTATGTTTATTTTATGTGCTGATTTTTTTTTTTCTTTCTCCATCATGTTGTAGCGTCTTACGGAGAGAAATGAAAGTTGACCGGTTCCGTCACCAGGCACCACTGTCCCGAATGGTCACAACAGTGAAACCCTGCAACCCCTTCGCCAAGACTGAGAAGGAAGTCGTGGACTATAGGCAAGACCGCTAGGAGCCTTCCTGACCCTCTGACTATGGGAGGCCTCATCCAGCAGCTCTGGGAATAAAGGAGCTGATGTATTTCCATCACATTCGTGGGAATCTGATGGCACCTGATGTTGTTCCTTTCTGCTGTATCCTGGCTCTGTCTTGGTGCCTCTCCTGACCAGTGGAGTGGCCACTCAGCTATGTTTGGGATATCACTGATCCACAATGGCAGGGGAGACTCTGGGACCACCAGAAACAGGGTTTTTATTGTAGAAGATTCATCTTTGGGGTTGGAATACCGAGTCTGCCTAGAGGGTTCACATCCCAACCACAGTAGTGCAGGCATTCTGTGATAACAGCAGAGTCTCCAGTCTAGGGTTGAACATCACAGAAATTATCTAGTCCAAACCCATACACTGGGCTGGCCGGCTGTGCCGTGGTTAAGTGGTGTGCAGTGGGAGCCAAACCCCACAGGGCTCAACCACTGGAATCTCAGTGGGCAGCTTGAAAAGCGATGAGCAGGTGTGCACATATGTCCCAAATCCCAGTGGGATGTAGAAATGGAGAAAAAGGATTATTACATGACCAGGCCCCATTGGAGGTTCTTTCTCTTTTCTCTCTCAAACTGATGAGCTCCTTCTGTCATAATGAAAACAAAATACACAACATGTCAGTGGTAAAACAGAGCCACTGAGAGAGGAAGTGGCATCCTTTCCCATCCTTTTCACAGGGGGTGACATCTGTGATGCAGAGGGCACACTCCTCTCACATCTTTAGCATTTCTCTTTCAGACGCAGAAGCATCGTCCTGGTTCCACAGGCAGATACTTCTCTATAGGAAGGGCACCGTGAGCACTTCCTGGTAAGAGTGTGGCTTGCCTGGACTTGACCAAAGAGAACACCAGCTCAAAGGTTCACTGGAATGGGGGTGCTGTGGGAGGCTGCAGGACCTTCCTCTGGCCTCCCCAACGTGGTCACAGCATGCACATAAAGCACATTCCTGTTCATATGTACACCTATGGATTCTGTTGGCACTTGTAATGCATCCATGAACCTTGCATGTCTGATCCTGCAGCCCCATACAAAAGCCCGAAGGAGACATTTGCATTATCTTGCTATCTGATTACAATACTCTGTTTCTTATCAATATCTGATCAGTAAATTAGGCTCAGTATGGAGAAACTGAAGTATTAAGGTAACCCAACTGATAATTAGTAGGCTTATGACTAGAATACAGGTTTTCTGAACAGAGATGCTGTATCTCCTCCACCTCCATTTCTCCACACATTCAATAATTTCACTGAGTTATTAAAAAACCAAACAGGAGTCAGCGGATGGCGTAATGGTTGAGATGCTGCATTCTCACATGGTCAATCACAGATTGAGTCCTGGACTCGGTGGCTTGAAAATCATGCTGGACGTGCATGCTCAAAATCCCAGGAGAAGAACGGAGGAGAAGGGATTTGGCTGTGGCCCTCCTCCTAGGAGATGATTTCTCACTTTCCTTCTCACCACCTTCCTGTCTCTCTCCAGTGAGCACATATGCCCTATGGCAAAAGAAAAAAAAAAGAAAAAGAAAAAGCAACTCCCCACATTTCTACATTTTTCTGAAGTGTTGCTCAGGGTTTCTGCCTGATTTCTATTTCTTTCAAGTAATTTAGAACAAGATAGTTTATCCCATAGAACTCCAAGTAAGTGTTTAATGCTCTGGGGAGTACTTTAGCCTTGCTTTCCCCATGGAGAGGGAAAAGTTGACTATATTTGTTGTAGAATCAAGTCTTGCTTCAGGGAACAACTACACAGATATTGAAAATCTAGAAAGAACAGATAAACTCATTTTAAACCCATGAATATAGAATAGATTTCTTTTTCAATGGATGAAATCAAATCAACTCTGTAAAAACAAAACAAGAGTTTCAGACACCAGGCTGCCTGCGGCTGCAGGCCCTCACAGATAGGACTCTCGCTCATCCCACCCCTACTCGTCTCCAGACTTCAGGTTGGTTTCTTGTTCTGGACACCAGGCTGCCTGCGGCTGCAGGGGCTTATAGTTGGGACCCATCGCTCATCCTCTGCCCCTTCCCCACTTGCCTTTGGACTCTCTGAATTTCAGTGTTGTGCGCCGCATGATTTTTTTTCTTTGCTCTTGAGGTGTTGCTTGTTAGGTCAGTTGGAGGTTCACCACCCCTTAGAAACAGGGAGGACTTTGGGTCACCCAGGACCAGTGACAACAGTACATGGTACTGTGAGCAACAGGTAGGCCAACCATAAGAGAAATCACCAGTTTTCTAATCCTGCACACCTTTTAACTTAGAGACAGCAACATATAGGAAGCAACATATAGATCACGTGATGACTAGGAACAATCACAGAGGCTCAAGAAGTATGAGCAACCAACAAAAGCCCCCCCCCCAAGAGAAATCATTAAGCCTACATCACCCACAATCAATACAATGGATGTCATGGACATGTCTGATAAGG